TCAGCAGGGAGGAGAGGGCAGAACAAAGAGAACTGGGGGGATTTATGCTAGTGCATGGAGTTAGGCTTGCTGGATGGATGGTTTCAGTAATGTTTTCTGTTGTGAAGTTTTCTTAATGGCATCTTAAGTGATGAGGGTTTTGTTACAGAGCTTTTACAAGATGGGAGGGAGCAGTTGAAGAAGAAATAAAAAGTTTAAAGTTGAGGATGGGTTTAGGTATAAGAAAAGCCTATGCAGGTGTCTAAAACACAGGGATTAGCACTGAGGAGGAGGATTTACTTTCTCTTGAACACTCCTGGTGCTTTGGGGGAAAGGGAGTTACATCCTCAGTGTCTTGTGACAAAGCGAGGTCAAGGCTCTATGCTAAAATTATGGAGGGTAGAGTGGAGAAAATGTGTGCAGTCAGGTGTTCTGAGAATTGCTTCAGCTAGAAGTGGAACTGCTGATACAGCACTTCTGAGCTCAGGCTTCAGCATGTCTTTAACAGAGGGGGGAAAAAAGAGCAACAGGCAATCTGTGTAAGCTACTTAGAATGGAACATAAACTGCTACTGTATATAAATGTCACTTTTTATGTTTTAAACTGGCATAAATAAATATGTTCTTTGAGTAGGTAAAATAACCCAAATAACTCACATAATGTTCCTGATAGTTTCTTAACTCTTTTTGTTGATGAATTAATTTTGTAGCTCATATCCATTGTTTTTCTCAATGCTTCGTGTCGGTTTTGCCTTAGTTTCATATTTGGTCTCTTCTCTGTATAAAATGTATAAATAAATGTATAAATATCTTCCTTTGTTTTTTTCTTTTTTCCTTTTTTTTTTTTTTTAGTCAGTCACTATGAACATAATAGGTAGAACTGCAGAGAGTAAGTGTGTGAATACTGACCACAAAAATTAGTGAATGGACTGGAGAATGAGGAGACATGATGCATGGCTTATTGCTGAGGAACAGCACAGAGGAAAGCTTTTACTCCATAGTTCAAGCTAAAGTAACAGTAAAGAAAAAGGTTGTAGTAGAACTTCAAATATGCAGCAGCAATGCCTATTCTTTATAAAAAGTGGCAACGTGTAACTTGCAAATGTTTCTTGTTATGAAACGCCAAGGATGTAGAAGCTCATTTGTTTGGATAACTTTGGGAAAGCACGCAAAGGCATTGTAGTGCTCATGTAAGAATTACTTCAAAGGGTTGGTGTATGTTTCTAAAATGTTTTTTGATGTCTGATTTCTTAAAAAATATTTACCGTTGTAAGCAGTGTTTAATTTAACTAGCACAATAAAAAGAATTTTAGTAGGATTGGAAATGTTTGTTTAGCCTAGTAGTATAAAGCAAAGCATTTCTCATAGGCAGAATTTCGTATTTATTGAGTATTCTCCCATCCCACTAACACGGGATTCTGGAGTTTTACCAGTTGCATGTTCTATATATGGAAAGTAATATAAATAAATAGTAAATGAACCAGTGAAACTTATTCAAAACGTTTGCATTTTTATTCCTTTATCAGAGTTTCTTTTTCTATTCACATCATGTGATTTTATTTGATCTGTTAATACGAGAAAGTTTATACTTTGTTCTGAAAGTACTTTTGTTTTGTTGGTGGTTTTCTTTTCTTTTTTTCTTTTATAAAAAAATAAGTAAAGGCTGTATAGTTTGACAAAAGTTTCAGTTACCCTAGTGTTGCATGGGAACAATGTTTCTTATGATCACAACAGCATGATTGAGTAGACAATGTTTTAGAGTATATTGACATTCAGTGTTGAATTTTGTGCACATGTTTTTTATTTCGTTGAAAGATCTGCATGTCATTAAAATGTGGTTCATTTTCTTTTCTCATTAGTTCATTTTTTTTCTATGTGAAGACTACTAATTTATTTTAATTTCATTTTCTTATCATTAGATTTATTTTCCTCTGTAGTGACGTGTAGAAGGGTATTTTTGGTATCATTCTTTGAATTTCTCAGGGTATTATGTAACTGATGACAGAAAAAATTTGTTCACATTTGTCGCTTATTTATTGCACATCTCAGTACAATTATAATTTTTCTAATTTGCATGTTACAGAAATGAAGCAAGGACAAGAAAATATTAAATTAAAGAGAGAGAACATAAGCAAACAAGTGGTCATTGACTGAAATAATAATGTGCATGTTGTTTTCCCCCCTTCTCCCTCCTGCATGCAGGGATTTGGTTTCGTAACTTTCGAAAATAGTGCTGATGCGGACAGGGCGAGGGAGAAATTACACGGCACCGTGGTAGAGGGCCGTAAAATCGAGGTGCATGTTCAAAATATTTTCCTTTTCATCTTTTTTATAAATGTCTGCTTCACTCTCATTTGTTGTTTCAGATGCATCATTGGTGTCTTCTGTGTGCTCCCCTTTCCCCTTCCCATTGTTTATATATATATATATTTATATATAAAGAGAGAGAATCTGGCCTTACTTGGGTTTTTTATTATTATTTCTTTTGT